TAATAGAACATAACAGTATAAAACAAGGTGAGAAATTATCTTCATGCTTACAAGTTGGAATCCACGATTCGAAATTGCACTTTTCACACATCGCTTTCTTTTGAGTTTAAAACCAACCTGCTGCCCCACGAGACTTTTCATCCGTTCATATAAATACTTCCTATATTTCTGGTACCAATGAGAGTTCGAAACGCGGTATAAGGTTGGAAAGAACCCAAAATTCATCGATGAACGCTACTCGCACCACATTTGACCGACATGGTGGACAAAAACAAAACTTGTGAATGCGCGCGCGCTGTTTCATGGGATACGGCATTAAAATTTTCTCCCCAGCCCTCCGCAATGACGTCACCAGATCGCCTGGTGTTTTGCAGAAAGGAGTTAAGTTAGTGAAACCTTAAAAATTCTTAGCAATATCCTTATTGTCCATTTTATGATCTTGGTAGGATTTTTGACTGCAATAGATGGTTAGCAGTGGATGAAGGAAATGGAAAGGTACAAAAGCATTTTAATGTTAAATTATTTTAACCAGCGATTGCGCATTCTGATGGTGCAGGAAGATTGTAAATTGTAAATAGAGAGGTTAAGCTAATGCGAATCGGGAATCCTGGGATTTGGAAATCCTAAATACAACTCAGGAGTAAATCGGAATCTAGGTAACGATTGGAATCTGGAATCCAAGTTCCCTGACAAGTCATGCGGAATCCAGTGGAGTCTATAATCAACATCATGGAATCCAGAATCCAGAATCCAAGACTGTCTTGGTTGCCTTGCATGGGGCGACGGAAGACTATTTCATGTTTGCTGTGGTTACATTCAGGGTCGAAATTTTGATAGTTTTGCAACTAATACAGTAAAATTAGTAGGTAAAAAACAAAATGGGCTGTTTAGGAGGTTTGAAACTACATTAACGTTAATAATAATAATAACTAGTAATAGTTGACACTACAGCTGCCCCCGCTCTGTAGATAGTATTCTTGCTCCCTGTGTAGCTCTTTGAAATATACCGACTCATAATGAAGATGTTTACACATATTCCATACAATAGGTGAGAAAAATACAGGAAATAAACGCGAGGTTCCATGCACAGTTTCGGTTCGATTTACACAGCTTTGATCAAAACATAATCATTCTCAGTTTCAAGAATAGTTTATTCTAAACCATAAGAAGAGATTTTATTTAGAAGTTTAATTTTTCGCTATTTCTATTTCACTTTTTACATTTAGTTCATTTCATTTGCCGGAAAGTAAGCCTTAGAAATTAAAAGGACGTTTGATCAATTCACGCTTGAGCATTCTAGTCTTATTTGAAACTTTATAGCGGATGGACATCTGTGAGCAGGGAATAAGTCAGCACAGAATTTGATGGTCGGCGAATTTTTGTAATCGTCCATCGTTCTGCTAGTGATAAGCTAGCCGTTGAATCATTCACTCGTCTTGCTTGTTTTGGGCCGAGTCTTATTCCGGTCAAAGAGAGAGAAAGAGTGCCTGGCAAGGTTCAGCTGAAGGTTTCCAATCAAAGATTTGTGAACTCGTGTCTGGCAAACTCACTTAGTGTTAAAATATACACTGTTCTACGCACCGTATAACTTCATCTGCGCTTAACGAGTGTCTTTTGGTCCATAACTTTCATAACAACTGCTCCACAGAATGTCACTGATAACACGTAACGCAAAAGAGTATCGAAGTGTGACTACACAATTAATGTCACAAAATCTGCCTATTGTAAGCTGTTCCTTCGGGATTTTTTGTGTTTTACGTCATCCTCACCATTTCGTACTTGCGGGCGCAAACAATAGAGACGTCATCATTACCTACCGATTCCTCGCGGCCCCAGTTCGAGCAAATCGAGATTTTTTCTGGTATACTGACTGCATATTTGAACTGTAAGTACTGTCCTTAATATACGCGCGAGTTACTAGGGTGCCTCCTCGGGATTTCGCCTCTGGGCGAAATCCCTGCGGGGGCGATAACTTTATTAATCTCCTCAAAAAGGCTTTTCAGCTTAATTTACAATGTCNCGGGCAGAACAAAATTTGAAAAACAGTGCCAAACAACGGCATTGCACAGTTGGGGTGTGGCTGTATTTTAAACACTGATATTATGGTTAGGGGGCGGAATTTCATATTCCACCCACTTTCACTCCGCTCCCCCCCCCCCCCCGCCTTCTTGAGAGAGTTATCAGGTCATCGTCGTAGGGTTTATTACCAACAGCTCTTTGTCCCCAGTAATTATTTGTAGACTTGGTCCCGGTTGTACAACGTTGGGTAACGCTATTCACAGGATAAATCACCATCTACAATCCTCGCCAAAAATTCTTGAAACACCTGTGCACTTCCCTTTCCCTCTGCAATGTTCAGATGTGATTGCAAAGTAACGCGGACACAACAACATTGCAAAAGGGATCGGGGAAACTAAAGGGAAAGAAATTTGCCAAAGTGTTTCCAAGGGTTTTGTCCGAGATTGTAGTTGATAAGTGTTAGGGAAACTAATTGCGTTATCCAGTCATTTACGTGGGGTATAAAGTTATCCATCTTTTGAACAATTGGTGCTTGGGTAGCAGGCACAAAGTTTTGTCCAATTTCTAGCCCAAAGAAACATCAACGACATGGCTAACGGACCTCCAGATCTAAAGTCCCACGCCTTTTGGGGTTAGAATGATTACTTGAACTATTTTGTCATAGTCCATCAGGATAATTGAATGTCTTGTATTATTTCTCCAGGTTGAGTGCGAGCTGTTACCAAACGGAAGTACTTGCAACAGTAGCTTAAAAAAGGTTATTAAATCACTAGGAATAAATTTGATGGGTTTTTAGGTAGTAACTGGGTGACTAGGGATCGTTATACGTTTCTGGGAAACTGCCCACCTACCCATCCCCTAAGCCAACATTAACACTTACTTCTCCCTTAGGGCAAAATGGTGGCTTAGGGGAGGGGTAGGTGGGCAGTTTCCCAGAAAGGCATAATGATCCCTTTTTTGGTAGTAGCTTTGTTAATTTTAGTTTTTGTATGTTCTTCTGCAAACCACTAAAGAATGGAATTCTGGTTGAAACTAGTTAAATTTAATTTTTGCGAAAAGGTTAAATAAAGACATTACAATGTAGCATGTTTTGTTGAGTCAAAAAGTGGTGGTTAGAAAGGGTAGTTCTACACCTTTTTTTGAATAATAGACTCTTTGGCTTGTACGTTTTGTATTCCCATTGTAGGTCATGCAATATTCATGTTTATATGTCCGCGTAATTTTGCCAAATTACCGAAAGACCCCCTTTTGGAATACACAACGTACAAGCTAAAGAGGTTTGTTGTTGGAAACGTTAAGTAAATGACTTTTGTAAATGTAAAATAGCCGAGACTGTGGTTGTGGTCAACGTTCATCACTCTCACTGTAGAATCAAGTACATTATTACTTTTTTTTTCCTTTCTTCCTTTTTCTATTGTAAAATTTGGCAAAATATAAGTTTTCTGGAATTTTAACGAAAGAAAACGTAATTTAAAAAAGTTAACTACAACATGTCTCATTAATCATTAAGGGTTATCGATGGGCAAAAATGAGCGACATTCGAATTTTCAACTTATGCCACAAAAAGTCGATTTCGTTCTGTTATAAAAAATGACTGTAAATGTAGTTGTGGTCAACTTTGATCACAGGCACTGTAGAATCAAGAACATAACTACTTTTTCTTTCTTTCTTTATCTTTCCTTTCTCTCTTTTTTTATCGTAAAATGTCGCTTTTTTTTCAGTGCTTTTCTCAACACATCACAAAGAGCTTTGTAGACTACCACTTGTGGATATCGCTGTTGGGTCGGCCATCGTACAGCCGTTTTACGCGCCCACAGGTGAGTGAAACGACATATAAATTTAAATACTGTTAATTTGAGCATTATCGCTACAACCAGTTGCAAAAGTACTTGAGACACTGTGCCGTATTTTGGCATAAATGGCCTGTCCGTGATCTTGTGCTTGTGACCCCCCTCCACCCCTTATCAAAGTTGCTAGCAATACAAGACCATACTCAAAACTTGGAGGAACAACTTTGAATGGGAGGGAGGAAGGAGGTCATTATTATATCTCACAGACCTGTGACCAGGAGCGATTTGAAGCAAGAAAGGTCGTTTTTTCGTGGAAGTGTCTCAACATTTTTGCAAGTGGTTGTAGCTTGAAGTGGGTAAATGGCTGGGTATTTGTTGTGGCGAAGTATACTGTGGGGCTGTTTCTGGAGACGCATTTGGACCAAATAATAGCCAATGAAAGAAGTAAGGGCGATAATGTAATCTGCACAATCCCATTGTGCAGGTTACAGACGCTTCTCATTCTGTTTAAAATGAGGAACTACAATCGGCGACAAAATTAGTTGAGACTTTTTGACCGAAAGGGCGACTCTGACGTTTTGCCAACTTAAAAAGAGGAAAATAAAGCTTTCTCTTCCGTACCCTCGCCATTCAATGTTGTGCCGCTGTTCGAGCTACCTGTAGAAAATAACGAACACCCCAACTTTGAGTTTTTTTGTTCTCCGAAGTTATCCCATTTGAAGACAATTTGTCAACAATTTTGACGCCGATTATAGTACAAATGGAAAAAAACATGTGTGCATCGCCATTTGGATCAAGTTTAACACTTACCGCGTAAAAATCAAACTCCAATTTCGCTTTTGTCTTTTACCTGCTATTTTCAAAAGGTCTTAGGACTTCTACTGCTATCGTTGTAGACTGTGAACGCAAGCCGCGTAAAAGTGCTACCTCCGTAAAATACCGTATTCGCACACAGGGTTCCCACGCACCTTAAAAGACGTTGAATTTTAAAATAAAAATTCAAGGCCTTGAAAGTTCTTGAAAATTGTAGTCGGTGCTGGAAACTCCTTGAAAATCCGTACTACCTTTACCCAATCCAGATTCTCAAGTAACTAAAAGGAGCAAACACGGAAAGACCCTCAGGATAAAGTTGCTCATGTTTTGGAAGAACTGAAAAAGACATAGATTGAAGGCTCTTTTTCGCACTGAATGGAGTCCTTGGAAAATGGGAAATGTGTTCTTGAAAGTCCTTGAAAAGTCCTTGAATTTTTTCGTTCAAAAATGGGTACGTACCCTGCGGGCGGTACATTCGTCGCAGTTCGTTTTGGTAATGTTTGTTTTTGTTTTTGTTTTTGTTTTTTTCTTTATCTTTTTAGCGTCTAACTTGCTGCTGGTCTTTGTTACTGAGTTTCCTGTGTGTCAACATTGCCTGGTATAGACCCAGGTCTGAGGTATGTTATTTTGAGTATTCAGTGTTTTAGTGAGTGCAGCAAATTCGGTTATGGTCAGCTTGTCTGCAACTAAGTTACTTGTTACCAGGTTATATCCTCAGTTCAATCACATTAAGTCGTTGTAACGTTTGAGTCTATTGGTGAAATCCTAAAGTGTGACCATTTAAATGAAAGCTACTGAACAGTACTTTCCTGTGGTACTGTTTATTATGCTGTACACGGTGGTTCTAACTTTTGAGTCTGTGGGTGAAATCCTTTAAATGACAGCTACTGAGCAGTACTTTTCTGCAATGCTTTTGTTTATGCTCTACAAGATGGTTCTGACTTTCGAGTGCTAAGAGAAAATCCTTGAGTGTGACCATTCAGTTGAAAGCTACCGAACAGTACTTTCCTGTAGTACTGTGAGGTATATACTTAAACACAGAGTTAACCTAAAACAGCAATATCCTTGTGACATAGCCCCTTTAACAAACTGTTTCCCTAGGATCTCCTCTCCAATTTGTCTCATGAGATACCAACGTTTCTGAGGTGCCTTTACGTTTGTCTTTCGACCCCTTTCGTAGGCGATCTTTGTTATCACTTGTCTTGATATCTTGCCTGAGGTTTAGTCACCTCTCTAGCGTATGGCAAGTATAATATATACAACTCAACTCTTTGTTTTATGTTTCTGCTTTCAACTTCTGCCAGGTTCCTGAAGTGCTGGGAATTTTGGACCTCAATATAGAGAGCATTCTGGTTGGGATCATGTGCAGTGTTCTTGTACTACCCGTTAATCTGTTATGGATCTTCCTCTTCAGATACAGTAGGGTAAGTAGTCCTTTTGTCGCGTTAACAAATAGATTACACTTAATGTAAGTGAACATGATCTTCGCAGTAGAATAAACAAGCTAAAGTAAGCTGTTGAAAAAGAACCTGAAAAATTTCATGCTTGACGGGGATTCGAACTCCGGCCTTTGCGATTACCGGACGCAACGCTCTATCCATTATCCTCCGTCCATGGGCGCATTCGAAGTATAAGATCATGAATGAGGAAAAAAAAACTTCATCAAAAGTCCAAAAATACATTTTAAAATCTGTAGGTTTTGCTGACTGATTTGTGGGACGTACGAGATATTTTAAATTCGCGCCAAACACGTTCTAAAAATAAACTGTTTAGTAAAACGCCGTGACACAAGTAAAGTTGCTTTCTACAGGTTATGGGCTCGTGAAACCAGGGTCAAGCGCAACTTGCCACGCAATAGCAGTGAAGAAAAGCTAGCTTTGTGCTTGTAGCTGTTAGAAGATTTGTTTCTAATTGCGGCGAGTTTGTCGCTTGGAGATGGAGTAATCTGTTGCCCTTTTGGGTTCACTCGGATAATTCTGCATGTTGTATAATTCTTTTTTACTTCTTCAGAATTTATCCTTTTTATTCATTTTAGCGGTCATTTAAACGCCGTGTGAAGGTTTATCCAATCAGCGAGCATCAGACAGAGACGTCTGAACTTCCTTCTTCATCAGGTATTTTGTGAGGGTTTGGGGTAACTGACCACCTACCCCTCCCCCAAGTCAACATTAGCACTTACTTCTCACTTAGGGAAAAATAGTGACTTAGGGGATGGTAGGTGATCAGTTAACCAGAAACCTCAAATGATCCACTGATTTGTGTATTTCTTTAGCCCCTTCACTTGTTAACTACGTTATCGCAAGATTATTTGTCGCTATAACGTTTCAATCTATGGAAAAAATCCTATGGTGTTACCATTCAAATGAAACCTCTTCAGCAGTACTTTCACATGGTACCATTCATTTAGTATGTTGTTCTAACTTTTGAGTTTGTGGACCAAATCCTATGGTGTTACCATTCAAATGAAACCTCTTTAGCAGTACTTTCACATGGTACTGTTTATTTAGTCTGCTCTAACTTTTGAGTCTGTGGATGGAATCTTGAGGTGTTACCATTCTAAAGAAACCTCTTCAGCAGTACCTTGTGAAATGAAACCTCTTTGGCAGAGCTTTTGAATGGTACTGTTTATTTGTAGGGATTTTGGAGGATATTGCTGTTTTGGGTCAATTCTGTCCTGAAGTCGTTACTTAGTGCCTTAACTCATACACGAAATGCTCCTGTAGCGTTATAAAGAAACAAGTTTCACCAGGGAGCACTGACCATATTAAGTTTTTTGGTGATTTTTGCAGTCACATCATTAAAACTGGATAAAATTGGCCTAACGTTATCAAGTTTGAATCCATATCCATCCTTGCCATCCGCCGCAACAGACGCCAGAGAACAGATTTAGTGCCTAAATATAGTCTTAAGTAACAAAACTGAAGCATTATTTTTGGAATTCAATTGATACGAAAAACGTTTAAGCTTTAAAAAAGATAGCAAATAGCGTGACGTAACCCCTTCAAATAAACGTAGTGGGTAAAAACATTTTCAAATGGAACAGGGATCTTGGTTCATTCAGCTTTCCTTTCTTCTCGACAGTCGAGTGTAGAAAGGTTCCAGCTGAATTGAGAGCCAGCCTGGGGGAGCCTGGACCCTATATCAGCCCCAGGCTTACAGTAATAAAACAGTTTTCAGTTTTTCGAAGTTATCGTTGTCAAAAACTGTTGTACACTTTTCTTTCTCAAACATTTCTTTGCTAGCTTGCACTTTTAGGTCAAAAAATTATATTTCTGTTACATTAGAAAGGCTTACTTTTATAATGAATTCGTCATTTTAAAACCGAGGAGGAAAAACTGAGCCGAGTTTACTTTCGCAAAGACGTCTAGTATTGTTACTTGGGACAGAGAAGAAAATTGGCCAATAGCTGACTGGCGCGTCCCCAGTTACGATCCCACAAACACTTGCGGGACGCATTTCGGCTCCAGTTCCTTTTTCGTTTCTAAAGTGGCGGATTGATGTACGAGTAAATCTTGATACAGAAATGTCCTCGTTTACTTGAAGCCTTTTTTCCTTGGTTTCAGTGCTGAGGCTCGATAAAATCTTCGCGCCAGATCTCTGTAATAGGGATTTTACTATCCACGACGCGCCGGCAGCGAAAACGTTGCTTCAAAAATGAATTGGCGTTCTTTTGGTCTTTATTGCGATTATTCCAACTCACATACTTTGTCAAAAGTAGGTGAACCCTCCCGGAGTTGAATTTCTTAGAACCATATTCAAGTTTTAGTTTACGTCCTCCTTGAAAAGTAAAATTAGGCATTTTCACATCGTAGTCGTGCAAAAACGGCAAAGAAATGTACAAATAAGTGAGATGCACGTGCAGAGTTGTTGTTTTGCCTACTAAACCTACTGTTGTTTTTGACGTTCTCGTTGCCGTCGCGTTGTGGGATCTTAAAGTCTCCAGTATTTACCGTTGCTCGCTTGTAATCGCTTTTACAGGTCTACTGCTCATGCCTGTATTTTAACTATGATAAATATCAATCACATTTTCAACTTCTTATTCTTTTTTTTCTCTCTCTTTTGTCCTTAGTGCTTGACCAATCCCTAGAAACTGTTCTGTTCTTGAAGAACATTGGAGAGAGGCGGTGGCTTCAAACTTCACGAGGGATTGTAAGATTGTCCTTTAATTTTTGTTCTTAAATAATAAGAAATTTCTTTATCGGTGCTGTTCATGCAGCAACACGAACATTGTTCAGAACAATAGGGGGGGGGGGGGGGTGGCGTGTTCATTGTAATGTGGAGTTCAAATAGGCTACTAAATAACGCAATTTTTGTCATTTCTAGCATTCACCAACTGGCCTTGGAGGTAAAAGGAAAAAGCAAAATAACCCGGTTTTAATCTATCCGTACAAGAAGAAAAAACAAAACAGAATTTTACACATTAATAGATCCCCGAGTAGTAATAGGTGCTCATATATAAGGGTAAAGGTTTGTTTGCAGTGGAAAGTGCACTTAGCTTATCCAGCTAGTTTACAGGCACTCCACTTCAAATACCTACAAACAATTAATATAATATAACCTAACAAGATAAAAAACCTCAACCGGCAGGAGGCAACCAGTTTGCTATTTACTAGGATGGACGAGGGCTTGATTACGGAACGACCGAGAAAAAATCCAGCAATTGGCCAGAACGGGACACGAACCGACTCGGGCGGGGCCGCTGGATTCCGGGTTCGACGACGCGCTGACCACTCGGCCACGCCGCCTCATGCTCCCTCTCCCCACCCATCGTCTTCCCAGTCACCTTTTATGGGCCTTTATGGCGACATATTTGTTAAGTCCATGATACTGTGTGATAATAGTGAACTTACGCAACAGGACGTGAGAGAAAAGAAGACGGCAAACCTTGTGTGACAAGCGTGACAATAATTTTGTTGGAACAAAAGTTCCTTCAAACTTCACTTTCCTTTAAACAGATTTATTCGTTAATTACCAGAAAACATATCGTTAAGTGAAGATAACGACAAAACATGCAAGCAATAGCCCTGTCGCGTTTGTCACACACAAGCGTTTTGCTGTCCTCTTCTTTCTGCCGCCTTGTTACGTAAACTCACTAATGTGCCGCGATCACCTGCGATATAGCCGCCGGTAATGCCTGGGATACTGTTGCGATTTAAAAGAGGCCATGCTAGTCTTTACCGCCGGCATGCATGCGAAGTTAAGTCGATATCAACTTGGCTGGCGTGCCAGCGGTGAGGACCATTCAAGTTTCTTGTTGCTGGCGTTGTATATTCTCATATTTTGGAACAGTATAGGCGAATCTCTGATGACGTTATTGTTAACATTTTTTGATCATGAGCGTACGAGTTTACCCATGAAAGGCGTCACCGTATGCACAATTGAATGCAAAAGTTGAAATAGTTAGTTAATTTGAGCAATTTGTGCAATTTTCCGCTCTTTGCAAGTAACAATTCAGGAAAAAGCAGTCATCGAAAGCTGAGAAATTGCTGGGGGAAAAAAAACGTTAATGGGCTCATACATTGTTTATAAAGTTTTGAGTTTTTTAAATTTTTCCGAAACTATCCGTATATCGGGTTCAAATTTTTACAGATAACTGAAATTGTTATGCTCTTTTGATATTGTGTTTTTGATAGCTTGATAAGAGAATGAAAGGCATAGGCTAATGAAGAAAAAAACACAAAGATTCGCCTATATATACCAGGCAGTTCCGGCGGCTATGTCGCAGGTAGATTGGCGGAAATATGAGAACCGGGCTTAACAACAGGTCTCTTGTTTCAGGATGCTGAGCTGTCCACTAAAGATTCCCTTCTCTGTCATCCCGGTGATTCCCTTAGGCGCCGTTCTACCACCGCCTTGGAGTCTTCCTCAGGTGCGTGTCATTGAAACTCATGACAAACGACGTAAAAAACTTATTACCAGGGGTTAATTTAATAAAGCTTTTACAAGTGTAATTTACAAGTATAGCCATTGTTTTCAGACTCTAAAACAATGGCTACTCTTGTAAATTGAATGTGTAAAAGTTTCATCAAATTTAAGCCCATCCTTATGCGCCACTTCCACATTTCCCATCATGCACCTTATTTGCTCTCCAAAATTTTGCATAACCTTTGTCTTTCATTTCTGCTGGGTATTACAGCCGTCCCAATAGAAATTGAAAACAATGCTTATGCAAAATTTGGGGGGCAAATGAAGTGCATTGTGGGAAATGTAGAAGTGGCGTATAGCGCACGTCACCACTTAATAAACGAGAGGGGAACTGGAGCCGAAATGTGTCCCGCTGGGATCTGGGATCTGGGATCGTTACTGGAAACACGAAGGTCAGCTATTGGTCGGTTTTCGTCCCTGGCTCTAGTAACAGTCCCAGAAGTCTTTGCGAAAAAATAACTCGGCCCAGTTTCCCTCTCAAGTGTCGAACAGAGAGTAAGGACCTCTTCGTTTTCCGTTTGCCAATGTAGGACATGTGATGTTATTCTTGAGACCTATTTTTTCACTTTTGTCTCAGTCACGTGCATATGTGCACATAATTTATGAAAAGAAAAAGAACAAATTTATTTTAGGTATCACGTGACCTACATACATCCCACATCAAAACATAAAAGCAGAAGAGGTCTATTAATGTTTTGAGGTAGCGCCAGATCATCCGACCGGCTTACGCGCTAGAAATTAAGAGATAAAAAAGGAGTTGTGCCACCAGATTTATCAAAAACCAAACAGTGGGAAGTGCCGCCAAATTTAGTGACAATTTAAAATAACCGCTCGAAAAGTTAAAGGAATGTATAAGTAACACAGCAAATAGAAAAGGAAACATGGATGGACAAACTTAAAGAAGATTGAAACGGATTGTAATTGTGGTTTTTGAAAACTTGTGAGCCTAACAGTTTTTCAAAGTTCATTCGTGTTGTTTGTAACTATTGATATATTGATATGCTTGGGAGACATATTTTGTTTGACACCAAGCTGTGATTTTGTTATTCACAGACCGTCCACAGGTAACTTCTCAAGTTTTAAAGCGAGTTGGCACGCATAACTCGCATTGTCGACAAAAAGAACTAGACAGCTATGACAGAGCCCCTTTAACCCTAAGAGTGATCAGCATCAAATTTCTCCTTGTAATATCAATGCTTGTAAAACAGAGTGGTCATGACAATTACGGAACGTCTCCCCATTATTTCGGTAGGAAATGAATAGGGGCTAAAAATGAGAATTCAAAGTTTGATCTTAGGGTTTAAAGGGTAAAGATCTGAACAGTTTTTAAAACGTAATTTCTCTGATCCATTGGAAAATTGTGATCGGTTTGTTAAACGAATTCGTTTTCTGTAACAGATGGAATAAGCCTTGGCTACAACACAGGAAACGACAGCTTAAGCTCGAATCCACATTTGCCAATTACAAGCGCCGGCCTCACCGAGACGGTTGATTTCCTCGCTGCGCTGGCACCCACTAGAAAAAAGCTGTCCGTGGACTTGGAAAAACAAAGCGTCGTCAGCGTCTGCGTGTCAACTACAGCGTCGGAGGGCAGGGGGCCGTACTATTCAAGGTTCAATCTGCCGCATGTCTGTAACTACGTAGCTTGGTTCGGGTGTCTGCTGACAGGCGGTATTGCTGGTTGGTTCACTATATGGTTTGGTCTAAGGTAGGTGAAGAATTTACACGATATTAGGGACTTTAAGCAAACCGCAACGGCGACCTCTACAACGGCGGTCAAGGATGCGGAGTCCTTGAGAAAGTACGTCACCGTAGCCAGGCAAATTTCAACTTTAAGGAAGCGGCACCCAAACAGTGACAGCATGGTTTCCCCTGGTATTTGCTTTCGCTGTTGGTAAAACGAAAGGAAGACGTAATTACTGGAAAACCAGAAGTGTCAAATACTGTCTTCATAAAGAGAAAAACAATCTATGATAGGTTTTAAAACCAGTCCGTGATGGTAAAAAATAGGTCTTCACGTTCTAGGATTTGGCGCTACGCGAAAGATCATTTCCACGCATGCGCACTGCGTCGTTTTTGGGCTTTTTAACTTCCGGCCGCCGTAGGTCCCTATTATCAACGGATCACTATTACGAAATTTGTCGCGAATTTTTCATTATTTACAAAATTGCGTTGGTAACGTTCAGTACGTCTCTTGGCCAAGTCAAGATGGCTTCAAGGATTTAAAATGCTATGAATTAAAATATCACGGCGTTAACAGACCCTTTGAAAACCTAAACGCACGAAAGAGCACATCAAGAAGGATTCTATCAGGTACTTTGTCGATAAATTCTGAGAATTATGGACTTGAGCCAAAATTTAAGCTGTATTCTTTTCAGTGCTTAGAATTCTCGATCGGTACAATAAACGTGCCGAAAACCCACAATTCCTAATTTGGACATAACGCTCGTGAAATTATTCCCTAATTTCACCCGTCACCATTTGATTGTACACGCTAATCTGTAAAGAATCCACACTAAGTTTTTGTCGAGAGTCTTATTTATTTTCTCCTTTTTCAATTTTCGACAACTTTTTAACCGATAATGTCATAATACACAGTAGTTGATGAATTCATAGAAAGACCACCGCCCTGACGGCACTCTCTATTATCTCCAGTCTTCCTCTGTCGTAAAATGAAAAAGAACAGCACCCAATTTTGGCTACAAGAATTACTGAGCGTTTATATGCCCTAAGAGTATTACTGAGGATTTATTGTCCTTCAAAGTCCTGTTCTTGGTGGTAGATGATCCTTATTCTTGGTTTGCAACCACGTGACAAGGCGGCCATGTTGGGGGTCAATACAATAGAATTTTTTTTTCTCGAAGCATTTACATAAAAATAGAGTTTAGTTCAGAGAAGTTAAATGCTTTTGTTCTTGACCACCAACAATGCCGCTGTGGCGTCACATGCAAACGAGCAATGTTTTTTTCCCCCTCTTTCTTGCAGTTTTGGTCCGGACATGTCCATTCGATGGTTGCAGTCTCTGTGTTTCTCCCTGCTGGAGTCAATCCTTATTTCTCAACCGATCATGGTACTCTTATTTATTTTCTTGAATTTGTTTGCTTTATTCGATGGCGCTTTTTCTTCTGAGTGTTGAAAAAGCTAAGTCCCGATTACACGAGCAAGCGTCCTTGACAAGGAAACATTTGCTTGTGTGTATGACAAAAAAATTGAACAAGTTTTATCTTCGCTATGGTTAATGTACCTTAAGAGAGAAAAAGCAATCCCGAAGTGAACTCGAAGTAAATGTAGGAAGCCAGTAACAAAAAGCGCGGGAAAAAGCGTGCGGATTGTTTTTGGACTTTACACTGATTGGTGAATAATATGGCGTGAGATTTGTGATCCAATCAAAAAGCGATCGCCGAATCACTTTTCTTACTGAAAACAGCTGTGTAGTTTCAATGCTTGATGATTCTTCAAGTTAAGTTTGATCTATTGATTAAAATTTGGATGGTTAAGCGTTAAAAACATGGGTAATCTACCGTTTAGGTCTTTCTCTACAATAGACGTTATTCACGATACCCGCCATCTTACACACGCTTAGGGACTAGTAGGATAAAATCAATGTCACGTGGTTTTTCGGGGGCGGGTGTGCAAACAACTGATAAAATCTGCCAATATGGGGGAAACGCGGTCGAGGTTGTTTTTTCTAGACAACAAAAAAAAAGAAGTTTTAATCTTAAAGGCGATAATGAGAAATTATGGGTGGAAGTGTTCATTGCTACTTTTTTAAATGCAGTTACGACCGTAAATGTCCTCACAGCAAGCAATAATGACTCAAACTGTACATTTTGCAAGACCAAAATCGTCGTCTCGTTTTTGAGACAGAGAATAGGGACTTTAAGATCCAACGAAGCGACGGCAACGAGAACGTCGCTGAAAAAGTGAATTTGCGTTCTTTCAGTCTTTATCGCGCGATTACTTCTACCCACCTAGTTTGCCAAATGTAAGCGAACCCTCCTGAACTTGAATTCCAAGGGACCATATCCAAGTTCAGAAAGAGAAATATATTTCGTCGTTTGTTGTTTACGTTCTCCACAAAACGCAAAATTATGCATTTTCACGTCGTAGTCGTGCAAAAACGGAAAAGAAATGTACAAAAAATTGTGACGCATGTGCGAAGTTGTTGTTTTGCTTATTAAACCTATTGTTATTTAGACGTTCTCGTTGCCTTCGCGTCGGTGGATCTTGAAGACCCTAACGTTTTTTCGATCTTTGGCAGGTTTTGCTGTTTATTTTGTTAATGGCACGTCGGTTACAATTGAGAAAAGAGGAAGAATCAGATGAAGGCTTCGAGGATTTGTCAACATCCGCTCTGCACGAAATACACTATGGACACGTAAATGAAGGATTTAAGGACGAATCCAGCAGATCAGAAAACGATTTAGACCCAGTAAGTAATTGAAATATACTGCTGGAGATATTTAACAATTATTCCTCGAGCCCGAATGGGTTCTGAGTCAATAGCCCATGAGGCCGAAGCCGAATGGGCTATTGACTCAGATGCCATGAGGGCGAGAGGAGTTATTGTTTTAGTAAAATCCAACTAGTTGGTAAAAAAAGCGTATCGAGACAACACAACTTTAGCGTATTTAAAGCTAGACTTTAAACCTTTTTTGCCGCCAAAAAGCCGAACTTTTTGCTACTCGTGGGCTATAACATATAGTCTAGTAGTTGCTCAACCAATCAGAACGCAGCATTGATAATAGATCACTAGTTGGATGTTACTAAAAATTGTTGGATAATGTATGTGACCTTGTCTATTGCCTTTCGCAGCCGCGACAGAGGTTAACTTAAGCCTGGGACCACCATCTGCTATTATTGTGGCAGATTTACACGTCTGGATCCCCCAGTTTTGGTAGAAAACACAGAAGTTGGGCGTCTGACCGTAACCAACCCACGCTTCGTGAAGTCTTTCTTATGTAAAAATTGAAATATTAAGAATAGTATAGCCGGCTCTTCTAAAATATTAAAACGCTAAAAAGAAAAAACGAAAAATGTTTCTGTTTGTCCTAAAATTTTGTCCAGCATTCTACTTAGCTGAAGATCTATGGCAAAATCATACTAAAAATTTCAATAATTTTTTTTCCTAAAAAAAAGAAAACTTCAGCAACAATCTTCTTTGCTTAAGCAAGAATTTTGAAACTGCGCGCAATATTTAGTGTACTCGATATGACAGATCTCTGCATTCCTCGTAAGATGGTGGCACGCTTCTCTCTAGCAAGTTCCTTTACAGACAGAATGTAATTTGTGATTACACAGTATTATTATCGGGGGCTTGGCTGGCCCACGCGCCCATATATGAACATTGTTGTCTTGTGTGTACCGGTTGAGTAGTGGAGGCAAAATTAGCCGTTTGCAAACTGCTAATAGCTTTGCTCGATTTTTCTTTCCTTTCTATGTTAATTTTGTTGTTTGTCTTTAACGTTTCCATCTCAGCCTTGGCGATTGATATGTTCTTCCTAATTTCGCCGGCTTGTGCCTCATACTTTTCTTCTATGAGAGCCGTGCCTGTAACTAAACAAAAACTTAACTGTAAGATAAAAATTGGCTAGTATAACCCGCTTTAAAACTGTGCGGGGTGGGAGGTTATTCCACAGCACCGCGCTCCTGTGGGGGTAGTTTAGCTCGAGTAAGAGCCTTTTAGCATCAACTTTGTCATGGGAAACCGCAAACCTGAGAATGTCAAGTGCCCACGGCCTTGTGGTCGCGTTTACAGTTTGCAGTTCACGTTTGAACGGCAGGAAGGGCTTCCAGCGTAATTGACTTACGCAAGGTTTTTCGCTACTAAAAATTGAACAGCCTCACGTTTAAAGGCACGAATTAGCTTTCTATATCCCCCTGCGATGTGCTAGTTAGATTTTTGAACTCGAATCAATGAATTATTCATGTTTTTTAGGCGATAAAAGTGTCGCACTTCGACTTGACGAAGAACATCATAGCGGCACTGAACAAAAAACGCCTTACTAAAATTTTAAATCCCGGTAACGTGATACAACAAACGCGTTAATGCAAACTGCAGTTTTTGGTCTGCGGTTTCCCATGGAAAACCCGATGCTCCTATAATTGAAGCTTGGTGGTAATGGGTTGATTTCAGCTCAGTTTTTACCCCAGGGCAGAGCATGTTACTTGTCTTACATGACTGACGATCATCCTCGTGTCTTTTCCTCGTTCTTTTAGGCGCTTGCAATTCGGAAAAGGTTGCGTTATCTCAAGTTTTTGAAGCCTCCTTCTGAGTCCAAGCTCTCGGAAGCAAGGGAAACTTGTATTCGGAAAAAAGCACTATGGAACTACACTGTGTAAGTTTGTGGAAATTTTGCATCGAAGTCGTTGGGTATTGACCAGTATTAGAGACCTTCAGATTCTAAAACGAGTACGAAATTTTCTTAATGCTCATTTTGGCGGGAAAACGTGGTAGCCGTCGTCATTCTACGAGTTTTAGGGCGAATGTCGTGGTGGCGGGAACAAGGTATCAAATGTTAGAAGTCTTATCATTTTTGTAATCAGGAGAGCGTGTAACTTCCTTCACTACGGATACCAGTGCTAATTTTTCTAGTGAAAAATGGTAAAATGAAGCTTTCCGGGAAGTCTATATTTTGAGAATACGCGAAAAAACTTTAAGTCGAATCTCGTACTCGTTGTCGTCTTCGACCTCAAAGCTCAAGGTCTCTATTAACCTGTTCAAAATGCAACGTGCTCGCTCTTTAAATCTTGCTGAGGATATGGAACAGTTTGACATTTGCACAAAAAATACGTCAGCCATATGGCTGGGGTAAAGACGTCACAACGGACCTTCAAGTTCAAGAGTAACCCCTGCATAATATCGTATTAAAAACCCGTGTATTGTTACTAGTGTTTATTGCAATGCCACTAAAATGCACGTAACTTGCTTTTGTAAAGTAATGCTCCTTTGCTAAAATTTTGTGTTTTAGAGAGCTGTTGGTTTTTATTTCGTTCCTGGTGGTCACGTCGTTGTTAGTAGCAAGTGTGACAAGTGCAGATATGTATCACCTGAATCAGTCTATCAAGAATATATTCCTAAGGTAGGATATGAACAGACTGTCAGTCAACTGCACAAACAGTCAATCAGCGTTCAAATACTCAGTCGGTTAGTCGGTCAGAGAAAACTCTCCTTCGCAGCCGTTTTTAGTGTCGTCATGCAACGCTCCTCCCCAGGGAGGAGGGGGGAGTTGGAAAGAGCGTTGCGTAGCCTGTGAGAAGGCTCACATGGGGGATAGCGGCTCCGCCTCCAAAAATGTTCCCCGAACTCGCGCAAGTGAGCCGGCTCGCAGGCTAAGCGTTGCGTGACAATGATAAAAAAAAGTGGATAGGAGAGTGACGGGTAAAATGTATACAAACATAGGGAAATGTACTTACAAAGCAAACACAAAGGAAAAGAAATAGGTTCTTTAGTAGTGAGGATTTCAAGAGGACTTTTTTCAGACTCTTTCAAAGACTGAAGCTTAATCATTCACCCTTCACTAAGATAGTTGTTCGTCCATCCAGTCTATATTGAGAAGAATAGTGATGACGTCACAAAAACTAAATTTGTGAAATTATGGGATAGATTGACATGTCCAAAAAGAACAGGATGAAAAATGTCCACTGGGTAAAAGTGATCCTGTTGGTGCCACTTCTTGAAAAGATATAAGCTGCGTTAACCTCCGATTAGTGTATTATAAATATTCAGTTTTATTATTTTTCTGTTGGTATTTTTATTCAACTTAAGGGAGCTAAATCTTTTGCATTTTGTCACCTAAAAAAGTTTAAAGATTTCTCGCTCTCAAGTTGATTTCATTGGCACGCACTTTAAACAATGTAAATAGATGAAACGATCGATAACACATTTTTTTTACCGTGATATAAATGAGTTGAAAATTTGCGCGAGTTCGATGTTTGTCTCACCCATGACTAACGTTACTTTATGGTTGAAAATTATGCCGCTTTATAACTCCTATACGAATTTTTGTGCCAGCTAAACAATATCCAAACACTATTCACAGTCCTTCGATATTAAAAAGACTGAACAAAACGCACTGTAAACGCACTACAGTAAAAACCCGCGTATAAGAACCTTGATTTTAAGAACCTGTTAGGTTAAGATTGTCTATTTTGACCCCTGTTACGTAAGAACCTGTTTTAGCGTACAATTTGGAAACAGGTCTTATTTTGAGAAATTCAGTACCATGTTTGGCCCAGCAGCAACACAGCACCATGTTTTAATGTTGTTTTTGTTCCGTTTAACTTGCATAGCTTTGTATTATCATCATAAATGGCTTTTACATGCTTGGATTAAAGGGATATTTGCAACATATTATGCATGCAATACCAAAAAAAAAGAAATTAAAAAATTGGCCACAACCACCAATGTGTTGCATTAAATAGAAGAAAATATTGAATTGAAAAGCCAGTCTTCTTACATGGCGAAGTTGTCACATCCCTTTCTCAAAAAGAGTGGACGTCCATTTCTCAACATTACGATTCATCTGACATTCCTCGGCAACTGAGTTGTTCGCTTCAGTACAATAGCTTACAATCAGGTCTTCAGCCATAGTGTCGTCAATTATATAATATAGTATAATACTTTGCTCATAAATTGTGCTCATTAATGGAGAGGAGAAGTCGTTACGTCACGTTGCCATGGTAGCAAAATTTTTGGATGACAACAAACCAAAATGTCACTTAAAAAGTGGATTCGCACTGTTTCAAACTTAATTTCATTTAATTTGTCAAATGTTAACGAAATTTTCTGGGTTTAATTCGAAAGGACCGTATCTAAGTTTAGAAAAAGAAAAAGAAACTTTTTGTGTTGTGCTCACCTACTCCATAAAGAGGGCGTATGAAATCAGGAAGTTTCATGTCGCAGTCGTGCAACAACTGCTAAGAAAGGTACAAAAAAGAGTGATGCACGTGCAAAGTTGTTTTTTACCAATGTAAACCTATCGCTTTTTCGCTGTTCGCCGTCGCCGTTCAAAAACTCCCTTTTGTTTTGATCTAAAAATTTTGCTACCATGGTAACGTGACGTCACACTTCTCCTCTCTGGTGATTATATACTTCATCACTAATTCTCTCTTTGAGTTCACGGAAGGGCCCGTTCCAAAACTGACGCTCACACTCATCGTTTAGTGTGGACCTTAACCGCGAACGGCGTGTGGGTTTGTATGCAACGTAAGCATATCCCTGATTCGGTTTTCCAGTGCCAACATATCATTAAATGACTTAAATACGAACCGTGACAAAACTTACAAAGTGACTCCTTTCGATGGTCAGTGATATGATCGAAGCGCTTCGAACAACGTGATTCGCAAAACCTTCAGGGTTTCCGGGGGGGGCAGGGGCGTGGTAGAAAAAATATTCGTGCAAATGAAAATCGTATGAAACCAGTCGTGAGAACATCGTTTCTTGGCACCAGACCTCGTTTCTTCCCTTCCCCGGCTGTACATTTTCCTGCGGAGACGGACCGAAAACCGAAATAAGAACTGGGCTTGCCCCTCAGGCAGCCCAGTAAATGCAACTATTGCCTACTCTGTACCGGGAAGCGACCTTAGCTTTCCTTAGGTTTGCAGCAAAACACTACTGTATTCGATAGCTTCGGCGGTTCTTGTTAGCTAGATGCAACTACATGTTTCATATTTCAAACTCTGCAGAGGAAAATTGATTAAAAGAAATCGCGAACCACACACTACGTCTGAAAAGCGACATAAAATCTATAAATTTGCGAATTACCAAAATATAATAGTGAGAAACAGTCCCGCCTTCGACTGCCATGTTTTTGCTCTCTCTAAAAACCGATCTTTGCGTTTGTGGTGTATGACGTGATGCGCATGACATGTACAGAAATCCGCTGGCAAGAGCCCTGATGATCACTTTGCAAGTTGTGAGAACATCGTTTGGATTTCATTTTGGAGAATGTGTCAACTTCCCCAGTAATTTCACAAATTTGACTTTTTTTTACGCCACACTTCTCTATGGAAACACCCTGTTGGTGTGTCATTCGATACATCGAAAAGTCTAAGAGCTAATCATTGGTTTATCTCTAATTTTTAGATCAGAAAATCCATGGACTGGACCTGCTAGCGTCAAAGATGCCTGGAAAGAGATTTCTGATGTGCTTAACGAGAACAAAGCTGCCTCAACAAACACACCATTCTCGGTAACATTTATTGTACTAATCTCCATACATTTCCTTGGAAAAAAGTTGGAGAATTTTACAGTTAAGATCAAAAATTTCCCTTTTGATTATCATTTTATCGATTCTTATGACCTATGAAATACCTGAGAGATTAACTGTATTCTCCGTTTTCCTTTTCTTAGATTTTGCTGCCTGGCAGTCAAAGCCTCTTGTTTGGTCCAACCAAGATCACACAATACAAGTTCCCCTCAGTGAAGGTATGGTCTTTTGTCACGCAGTTCACGAGTATTTTAAAGAGCAATGGCAAAATAAAGCTAACACATTATCCATTTTTTGCAAAAGTAAAGCGTTCTAACCTATTGTATTTCTCATACAGAATTTGCAGTCTTTCAAAAAAAACATGTAGCAATATTTCTGAATAGCACCGTTTATGTCTTCAATCAGGTCTTCAGTCCCAAACCTTCTCGTAGCCTCTTTTCGCGGGACTCTATTCTCTCGATTTTTGACAATCGCGAAAATCGGGTGAAATACTGACGAAGGGTCTGTTTGCATGAAGGTGGGGACGGGTAAGTGAGGTAATCCGCTTAAGTTGGGTACGCGCCTGTCCATACAGTCTCTCATATGGTCACCCCACCTATCATGTAAACGTGATCAAATAACAATGACAGATTAAACGCACAGGTGGGCTACCCAACCTAAGCGGGTTATTTCACCTACCTGGGTCCTCCACTTCCATGTAAACAGGCCCTTAATTACAACCATCCTAGCCTGTTCACAGACCTTCTATTTTATCTTCAAAGTCCGTCGAGCGTGCGTGATAAAAAATAAACCGCGGGGGATTTATTGACCGCCAGCGCAAAGTGGTAGGGGTTCGCTCGCTGTCGCGCACGCCGTTGTTTTCCAAAAGCGCGAAAAGAAAAATAAAACAACGTCTGTGTACAGGCTACAACCATCCTCGCATTTGAATTAACACCCATTTTTGTTTCATCAGGTGTGTGAAAATAGGGCAATCAGTGTCAATCAGTCCGCGAACGGGAAAAGTAACACCACCGTTAAAGAAAACAACACAACTCTGTGTCACAACAAGTGTCACGCTGATGAAGGCGCTTGGATGAACCTGGAACTCAATCAGACTAGGTACGTTTGACACACAATCATGCAAAAAACCCAAGATTATTTTGACGTAGGAAGTGTGATAACCTATGCCGTTTTTAATTTTCCCCATACTTGCTTTTCATTGAGCTGCCTGTAGCCAAATTAAAAAAAGTCTCATCTATGTCGAAAAAAGGGCGGGACGGATCTCCCAGAAGGCTTTGCGTGTCCTATCCCCCCTGCAATGTGGTCGACTTCTGCAGGGAGGGGTCCCTCATTTTTGACCATGAATTTTTCATTCATTGAAAGCGGAAACATGCGTTTAAGAAACTTTTGTTTTTCGTCGTCCTTTGTAAAACGTTTCGAGAGCGTTTTTTGAAAACCTCAGGTTTCTATTGTCCTCCAGGTTTTCATCTTATTTTGAGGCCTTAAGATTCGAGGACGAGGTTTGACGTAAGGTTTTTCGCGTATATCATGGTAATCAGTTTTTCTCATCTGAAAAATTAGCAGTTTTTTTTTTATCGAAAGAGGTTAAGCCCTCTCCCGATCGCTATTATTTACGTCACTATCACTAAAACTCGCAGTAGAATGAAGACGGCTATCACGTTTTCCGCCAAAATAACGCTGACTTAGCATTGAGGAAATCTCGTTCTCGTAGTCGTCGTCCTCTTGGAATTTAAAGGTTTCATTTTCAGTGTGCATGAAATGAAGAAAAACACATTAAAAGTTGGGGTGGACGTCATAATTTGCAAAATTGTAAAAACCTTTGAATGCAGAGGTCAACTGAACGCGTAAATGAAACCGACTGGTTCTTTCTTGCCGGATCTGTAATGTAGAGATGCTAATGCTAGCGGTCACTTGAAGTTGGAAGTAAAACAAAGCTAAAAGGAAGGCTGGCAATACGACAAAAGGCAAATTTTAGGAGCCCTTATAGCATTCCCTATCAGTGTAGCTCTGGCCCTGAGGAAGGCTAATATGCGCTTAGCCGAAATAATCAGCCCTTTGCCGTATTGTAGTCTTTCATTCAGTTTTGTTTTACAAAATTGTAGCTTGCTGTTAACTGAATCCACTTTCTTCAGAAACGAATCTGTGCAGCAGCTGGAAGAGATTGCAAATTCACAATGGATAGATGAATGCACAAGGGAATTTACTGTAGAGTTTACTGTTTATACTCCGTTTTTACGAGCCATCAGGTAAGTCAACACTGAATAGGGTAAGAAAAAAGGCGGTGAGCAGTTGCGGCAATTAACTCGAAAGGACAGATTTCCAACATTAATGACGTGTTTCGTCGTTATGGCCTGTAGCTTGCCGTGACTTTATAGCTGCCAGTAATGGGTTAACTCAAACTCCAAAGAATGTTCCAAATTTCATTAGCAAACCTCAGTAGCAAATAAGCCACCGTCGGGTTGCTGGATTGATTATCGAAGAGATAAATATAATAATTGGTTGATAGACTGACTGACCGACTGACAGACTGACTAAAAGACTGACTGACTGGCTGGCTGATTGACTGACTGACTGACTGACTGACTGACTGACTGACTGACTGACTGACTGACTGACTGACTGACTGACTAACTGACTGACTAACTGACTGATTGACTGACTGTTTGACTGGCTGACTGACTGGCTGACTGACGGACTGACTGGCTGGCTGACTGACTGACTGATTGGCTGACTGACTAACTGACTGATTGACTGACTGTTTGACTGGCTGACTGACGGACTGACTGGTTGGTTGACTGACTGACTGGCTGACGGACTGACTGACTGACTTAAGCATTACGGGGCTTTGTTTTTAACGTAATTTGACTTCTGTAATTCGTAATCGAAAGATTTAACGAAACTTTGAAAATTTCATAATTTACAAGGATTTGTACGAAAAACCACTCAACCGTGACTGGGCGGCAAGAGTTGTTTTCCCACACAAATCCTTCCAATTTTCGACGGCCGTTGCGATCGCTACTTTAGAGATATACGGCTGAAAATTTATAGGTTGTCAACATTTCGTTTGGTCTTTCAGTTCCTGCAAAAATTATTTTTCCGAAAAGAATTGTTTTCGTGTTTACAGAAAGTTGATCACGTGACCAACTATTGCAAAAGGCCTTTTGATTGATTGATTGTTTGATTGAGATAGTAAATTATGAAGTAAGTGATCCACCGATGACTTGTTTCGCTGACTGTTTATCTTTTACTTTTCCATAGTGCTGCTACTCTCTCAGTTAAGGCGTCTAACGCCAAGAAACCAGGATGCCATTTGAAATTGAACACCTTCCCAGCGTTTTTCAAGTCCCCTGATTATGGCTACTTTGTGAGGATTTTAAAGGTCTGTGAACTATTGTTTGCTTGGCACCTACGCCTCCCCTAACCCACGGTTAACACTGACTTCGTTCTTACTTAAAGGCAAAATGTTGAGGTAGGGAAGGGGTTAGCTTGGATCTGTGTTCTAGACCAGGAATCTGCCCACCTACCCCTCCCCTAACCCAAAGGCAGAACTGTTGGGTTACGGAAGGGGTAGCTTGGATCAGTGTACTAGTCAAGGAAACTGCCCACCTACCGCTCCCCTAACCCAAAGTTAACACTAACTTCGTTCTTACTTAAAGGCAAAATGTTGGTTTTGGGAGGGGGTAGCTTGGATCAATGTACTAGTCAAGGAAACTGCCTACCTACCCCTCCCGTAATCCAAAGGCAAAATGTTGTGTTAGGGAGGGGGTAGCTTGGATCAGTGTACAAGGAAACTGCCTTACCAACCAGACACCATCCTCGTCCCCAGGACTTTACCCTCAGAAAATTGGAGGGACGGGAAAAGTGCTTGGACCTGGTTGACCAGAAACCTTTGCATTTATGCTGAGTGCTTTACACAAAACATCAACGACATGAAAACAGTTAAACTTTTAACATTAAGATCCAAATTGAAATTCTCACTTGTTGCCCAAATCAATTGCCTAAACAAGTGATAGGGAGAAGTTGATAAAACATCACGGAAATTCATCTTGTACGATCATTTTTGTAATGTCGGGAATCGGTAACACCGACGAAAGAACTCAGAATTGGTTGAATTTAAACAGTTTAATCTCGCTCGCTCAC